GGGGGGTGGTGGTGGTAGTGTGTATCTTGATTCCATTACTTTTGAAACAAGTTACTTAACGTCTCCCCTGCTTCAATGACCTCATCTGTAAAATGGGAGTGACATTTAGTTCACAGTCAAGTTGTAAGGAAACGTAAGGGAAAAAGGGCCTGACATAAATCCTTTTAATTCTATTAAGCCGCATATAAGTGCTGATTTTCAAAACCTTATGAAACCCACCAATATGTGAAAGTTTGTGACTAGGCACAGAACAAGGCCATAAAAATCGTACAGATAGTTCAAATACAGAGCCTTTAAGATGGGTTTAATCAGTGTGTTTCAGTGGGAATTATTATGCTAACAGTTAAAGTTCTGGATGGGTGCATAAGGGGGAACAGTTTCGTTTTATGTGATATTAGACCAAAGCACATGATCTCTCTGCAAACTCCTCAGAAACCAAGTTCTCAAGTTTTCTAGAAATGCTATGACTTCCACACTTTACAAAAAAACAAAAAAAATCTAAAAGTTGGGCATATACTATAGAACTTACCTTCCAAAATTATTTTTATCATATGCTGACTGAGTGTGTTAAGAATCAAATGGGGGGATCGCAGGGTATGGGCAGAAGGAGGAAAAGAGGAAAACCCACAACTTCAAATATCCAGTTTCCCAAATTACATGTGCAAAAACGAGGCACCTTGTTCTAGAAAGAGTATGAGTGTCCTAGCAGCTTCAATGACTATGGTTCTTCCCAAGATAATGTCTTATGGACTGTGTTAGAAGTGAATGCGTTTCCATAGGCAAATATCTAATGACTCAAGATAATAATTCCTCGTAAAAAGCTTTCTGTTCTAGTTCGCCTCTAACCTGATTAAAGTAAATTTGTCTCAATATTGCATTTCATTTGACAAAGACCAAGCCTATCTGGCAGCGGGCTGATACTTCATGGTACGAAGAATTTGGTTAACATATCCTTTGGTGAAAAGGTGCCCTGGTTTGCTCACTACCTAGAACCCCATATTATCCACTCTCTGCCTACACAATGGGGGGCTTGCACATCCCCACGCGTAAGGTGAAAAGATTCTCTTGTAAACTGGCAAGAAGCCTGCCTGCAAGGGTCTGACCTTCACAGAGAATGAAATGGCTGGGAAGTGTGCAAAATACCTCCCTGGGGTCTTTGTATCTTAGTACTTCCCGGCCTGTCAGCCGTGCAGATGAGCAGCCTACTCGGCCTCAGTATTTGGAACCACAGCCCTTGACTGTGGTCTGTCAGTGTCTCCAAAGATCTGGACACAGGGCGCCCAGGGCACCCAGACACAGGACACAGGGCCCCCAGTAAATGGCACCACGTCTGACACACTAACAGCCTGGAAGGAGTGTGGAGCCCCAGTAATGCGGCTGGCCCCAGGCCCCAGCCCAGCCCAGCCCTGGTGGCCCCTGAGGCTGGGAGACATCGACATCTCCCTGCAGCCTAGGACGGGTGGAAAGCTCCAGGCTCCTCTGCACGCCATGTTCCCCAGGCCAACCTCTACTTTCACAAGGCCAATACAAAACGAGTTAAAAGCAAAACCAGGGTAGAGACCATGGGCTGAGTATCAGCTCTGCCCACACCTGTGTTGGGACAGTATACATCATGCAAAAAAATAATACATGTTTTTTAATTTCCAGGTGTGTAAACAAGAACACAAAATTTACCTGACAACCTGATTCTAAATCTGGACCAGTCAATTTCAAGAATCAAGCCTCTATCACGTATTCAATTTTAAGAATCAGAGTGGTGAATTATTTGAGATCACAATTTTAAAAATACGGGTGGATGTATGAATGCGTGTGCACACATATTTTTCATTATTTTAACAAAACCTAATACATAACTAATCAAATATATTAGACCTACAAGTTAGGAGGAAGCACGGTATAAAAGTGCTCTTCAGTTTGCAAAAAGATTCATTTCAGGATTCATTTGAATATCAAGATCTACTTCACATTTAGGCTCATTTCACACACGCAAAAAAATGTACGGGAGACTTTCAAATGAATTTGGTTTATAATTTATAGAAGATTTCAAAAACATATATCCTACTTAAGGCAAAATCGAACTATATCTAATATATGCAATGAAAATAGTATTCCGTATGAATATGTTAAGGTAAACCCACTCCTCAGCTTACAAATATAGGGACATCAAACCAAATCTGTCCATCCCAAGACAATTTTATGGTAAGGATTGGTGCTGGTATTTTGCACACTTTTCTAGACAACATTAGAACTATGTCTTTTGATCTCTTTCAAATCTGTTCGGGTTGAAAATTCAGTATAGAATTACTAAAATTGGCAATCTAAAAAAAATACAAGCGACTACCTAAAGACCCCCTTAGAGGGGCGCCTGTGTGGCTTAGTGGGTTAAGCACCCGGCTTTGGCTCAGGTCACGATCTCACGGGTGCGTGAGTTCAAGCACACATCGGGCTCTGCGCTGACAGCAGAATCTGTGTGGGATTCTCTCTCTCTCTGCGCCCACCCCCCTCCCCCACTCATACTCGTGCTCTCTCTCTCTACGTGAATAAATAAACTTAAAAAGTTAAAAAAAAAAAAAAAAGACCCCCTTAGAGAAACATAAGGAATGTGTTCTTTGAACAATCTTGCCAAGTAAAGAGATTTTTTTTTTTTTTTTTTTAAGCTGGTCATTTTCTCAGCCTTTGGTCAGCTTTTACAGAAAAATTTGCACTGGAGGTCAAAGTCCTGCTTTCAGAGTGTAAGTACAAGAAAACACGTTAAGATGGCTGTGAGGGCTTGTCCTACAAACATACTGAAGAGCTTAATCAAAAGGCAAAAGACAGAGAGGGCCCAGGGTAGGGGGATGGCAGAGAGACAAGGCAAGGAGGGACCCTTCTTTCTGGCGGTGTCTACTCTCATCTGGCTGATTGTGTCCGGGTACCAGGGGCCCCTGTGCAATGCTGCATCTTCCCTACAGAAGGCGGCATTTACAGTACGATTAAGCACCCTGTCTGCGTCTCTCGGGGGGGGGAGCCAAGGGGGTGTGCCCTGGCTGAGCCTTGAGGTGCCTCTAGCAAAGGCTTTTAAGACACTGGTCTGGATGACTTTCAGAGGCTTTCTGTGCTTGGGATGTAAGACAGGCAGCTAATTTATTCATTTTAATCAACGCCAGCCCAGCAAATTCTTTAAAGAACGAACAGGTCGTTCTTAATCCTTCCGAGACAAAAGGCCGCTGTGAGATTTCATCAGCTCGGCTTTCTATCGTACCTCGTTTTCCTCTTCGTGCTCCAGGATGGCCTGCAGGAATGCCCTCCGCTCGTGGCTTGAAGACTTCTGATCAAACATACCCGCCTGGATCACTTTCTGATCCACGTTCAGCTTGTATTTCGCGGCCGCGAGAATCTTTTCCTCCACGCTGTTGACAGTGCACAGCCTCAGCACCCGGACCTCGTTCTGCTGGCCGATGCGGTGAGCTCGGTCTTGTGCTTGTAGATCCTGTGAGGGAGAACCACATGCTCTGAGGGCCAGCGCACCTGCCTCAGCCCAGCGAACAAGTCACCTGCCCGAGAGACAGGGGCGCGTAGAGGGTTACTTAACCCACCCACGCTAGTGAAAAGATCTTGCTTTCATTTTTAATGTATGCAAGCCACCTTCTCTGGAAAACCTGAGTTCATCCCTAGTTGAGGGAAGCTGGGCTCCGATCGGCCAAGCCAACCGAAATACATATCAGGTTTTGAAATCCAGGCATCAAGGTGTTTGCACCCGTCCCTAGGTTCACCATCAGATTTTGTCCCGAACTAAAACACAAAACAAACGAAGACCCCATTAAATTTGATGTCAGATTTATGACTTTGATATTACCTACAACTAACCTTAAATCTCAAGAAACACTAGACGCTGGTCTAAAGTGTTAGAGACAATTTTTAAAACATCTGTGAATTATACGTACATACAGTATACATATACACCATACAGATAGGGACTTGTCAGGGGGCAGATCTCCATGCATCTAATTCCACCAAAGACTCCATCTTTAGTTTGGGCAATGAAAAGAATTCCCCAAATTATAGCTTGTGGAATGCTAAATTGGTCAAAGTTTTGGGGGAAAGAAATCCGGAACCAAGTACCAAAAGTGTTAAAACTGGGTATGATCTCTGACTCCTGAAATTTTGCTTCTGGTAATTTATCCTACGGGAATAATCATGGATAGGATATGCACAAAGATTTACAAATATGGGTGTACCTCTTGGCATTATATATCATTTACAATGGTTTTTAAATTTTTTTTTTATGTTGATTTATATTTGAGAGAGAGCGAGCAAGAGAGCGAGCCTGTAAGCAGGGGAGGGCAGAGACAGAGACAGAATCTGAAGCAGGCTCCAGGCTCTGAGCTGTCAGCACAGAGCCTGATGTGGGGCTTGAACTCATGAGCTGTGAGGTTATGACCTGAGCCAATGTCGGATGCTTAACCGACTGAGCCACTCAGGCACCCCTGTTTTTTGTTTTTGTTTTTAAAGCAGAATTAAATCAACATTCAACAATAACAGATTGGTTAAAAAAAATTAATCTTTGTATGTATGTACCATATACTATATGCATAGCACCATACAAATTAATTACAGGAGATTTAATGACACAAAGCAGTAACAAGTAAAAAAGACACGTTACATATGACTACGTACATGTGGATCTCATATGTGCATATTTACGTAAACCAAGTAAAAGGCAGGAATTTACACTTCCAAGTAACGAAGAATAAAGTCATTATTAAATTTCCCTCATTTTACTTTCAAGTGGTTGAACAATTTTTTTTTCTGCTTTAAACCTGTATTACTCTTATAAGAAGAAAACAGTTGGAATGAATTCTTTAAATAAAACCCCTACTAAACCTAGGAGGCCGAGCTACCTGATTTCAATGCTACACCACAAAAACATCTTGGTCTGTCACTTTGATCTAGGTGATGGTCTCTGGGCCAATGCTAATTAGTGGTTTCCATGCACCCCCCGTTAGACCCGTACACGTTTTGGGGGTAAAAGTCTGTCCCCTGTATCCGGCATCCCAGACGCCCTGTTTTGCACAAAGCTGATGCTCTACAGCAGGAAGCCCAGCCACTTGGCCTGATGAATTTCCTGGCCATGCACATGGCACGAGACGGCAACAGGCCAAAGTCTGTCCAGGACACCCGTCTTTGCTGCAGGGACCTCTACAATTAAATGACTCGTGAGGCCAATATGTTTCCTCAGAAGATACCCGAGTAATATAAATATCAGACAGCTGAAACACAAACACAGCTGGGATCCAACCAAATTAGATTACGTTCCCAAAACAGGAGAAGGTGAGTTGGAGACGTACCATCCAAAGCTGGTAGGGGGAGAGGGGGTCGGAACCCTAAACTTCATTTTCAAGCTCTTAGTTCAACCATCTCTCTCTCGACAAACGCTCACGAGAATGGTGAAGCAGATTTCAAAACAGCGAGGTGTATGTTATCCACCTCTGGATTATTCCTAGAACAGGGGTCAGTGGAATGTTTCCTGAACGGGCCCAACAATAAGTATTACTAGTAAATGTTCTAGACTATCTGGGCCAAGAGCAAGCACTGAGCAACTGTGCTGTCAGCAAAGAGCCCACTTAGGATCCTCTGGCCCCTTCTCTCTCTGCCCCTTCCCCGACTCACACATTTCCTCTCAAAAATAAATAAATATTTTTTTAAAGGTTAGAAAAATTATTAAAAAAAATAAAACGATCTATCTATTTGGAAAGTAGCCAAAATTATTATTTCTAAGCTGAAGGTTTAAAAAAAATTTTTTAATGTTTTTTAATGTTTACTTATATTTGAGAGAGAGAGAGAGAGAGATAGAGAGAGAGAGAGAGACACAGTGTGAGGTGGGGAGGCAGAGAGAGAGGGAGACACAGAATCCAAAGCAGGCTCCAGGTTCCAAGCTGTCAGCACAGAGCCTGATGCGGGGCTCGAACTCAGGAACCGTGAGATCATGACCTGAGCCAATATCAGATGTTTAACCAACTGAGCCACCTAGACACCCCCAGGCTGAAGTAGTTTATAGAATGTTTAGCCTCTGAGTCTCTAAGCTAAAGTGGAGAGCGGGGGGCAGGGGATACTATGACAAAGAAAAATGTGCTTTCGTCATTGAACGGATTCTTCAGTACCTTTGAGATCGGAGTCGCCTGACACTCGGCCACACTAATTAGGTGTGATTCTATCTGCACATAAGAACATAGCCTGGGAAAAGGACCTCCAAGGTAACTTTGTGGGTGGCCATTCTGTGGTAACATAACAGTTCAAACTCCATGGGCTAATAGTAAAGGCATCAACCCATGTTTCTGATTCGCAGTTTGGAAATGAGAGTCTTGGTAATTCCGAGGGATTTTATTGCTAATTCCACATGTGTATGTGCTGTCCTTACTTCTAGCAAGGGCCTCCAAGTAGCAACTTCTTGGCCTCTATCTTCAACTTCGCAAATGGACCTGCGATTTCATCAATAGGACTTAATTTTGATTCAACTGACTTAGGATTATTATAGACACTTTTGTTTTTCAAAGCACACTGGAACCAACAAGGTAAAAAGAGCTCCACAACTTTCATTTTGGGGACCATGCAATATTTATGCAGGGGTGTAGGGTAGAAAGAGCCCAAAGCCCGGATTCACACCCAGACAGACATGGGTGACTTAATACTGACTGGTTACCTAATGTGAAATATTTTGAGGATTAGGTAGGAAATTAGGTATGCAAACTGCCTCATCGTATCCAGTGGAGTCGTGGCTTCATGAAAGTTAGCTGTCTTACTTTTTAAATGAAAAATCAGTACTTACTCTATCATTGTAAGATAACTGATTTCTGAAAGTGAAAGGAAAAAAAAAAAAGTTTGCCCAAAGTAATGGCCATGTTTAAGTGACAGCCATGAAAACTCTGGTCAGCTCAGTTGTCCAAATCAGGTGACGGTGAACCTACCTGTGGCAGATAAAAATATTTGGAGAAATATATGTCCCAGTGCCAGGAATCTGGGGCAAATCAGACCAGAGGAAATTCGAGATATTAGCTCAAATACAGTGAAAAGTGAATGAATTGCTCATGCAATTTACTTGATTCTGGAGTTACACCTTTGGTTGCTGGTTGTAAAAGTATGTCTGTGTGTGTGTGTGTGTGTGTGTGTGTGAGAGAGAGAGAGAGAGAGACAGAGAGAGAGAGAGAATGAGAGAGAGGCAGACATAAAGACAAGACAAAGAGATAGAGGGGTAGAGGGAGACAGAGAAAGGGAGAGGCATGGATGTCCCAGCATCCTCTCTCTGGTAATTTAGCATTTCTAGAGACCTTGAATTCCTTTGACTCTTAGCATTTGCACCATGCCAGTGAAGGTGGTCAGCTGAGATGCCATAGATGTGCTTCCCCCGCCAAGATAAAATCTAATGAACTCTCCATTCACCTATAGACAGGTTATTTTTTTCTCAGTAAAGACACAGGCAGCGGCTGCAGGGTGATCTAAACCACACTGGGCACCAAGAAGACAGACATCACATACTCCTCCCCTAGACGCCCAGCCGAGTTCAGTGCCTGCACGCGGGCAGCCTGTCACGAAATGTCAAGCAGACACCGAATTCGCAATGGTAAAAAGGGACAAACTGCAGGTCTCGTGGGATATAAAAATATAGAAAACAGGGGCGCCTGGGTGGCGCAGTCGGTTAAGCGTCCGACTTCAGCCAGGTCACGATCTCGCGGTCCGTGAGTTCGAGCCCCGCGTCGGGCTCTGGGCTGATGGCTCAGAGCCTGGAGCCTGTTTCCAATTCTGTGTCTCCCTCTCTCTCTGCCCCTCCCCCGTTCATGCTCTGGCTCTCTCTGTCCCAAAAATAAATAAACGTTGAAAAAAAAAAAAAAAGAAATTGAAAAAAAAAAATATAGAAAACATATAAAAATATTTCCTAAAGACTTGGAACTAATATATTCCATGCTGGTGGCTCCCGAGCCCTCTCCAAGGTGAGAACATTTCCAGAGAAGCATCCTTTAAGATACTCAGCTAGAGTAAATGACTGGCGAGCCTCGCAGGGGTCCCAGCCGGTGGTCACCCCAAGGCTTTATTCCTGAAATCAGTGCTCCTTGGCCAGGAGAGAAAGGATGTCAGAATCTCTGGGGAGCTTTCAAATGTATGGTGGGGGGAGGTGGTTCTGGGAAGCCTCTACCAAACTGGGGGTGGGGTGCAGGGGATGGCAGGCAGGCATGCAAGTTTTTTGAAAGCTCTCTCATAATTCTGTGCACCCCCTGAATGCCACTTCCTGCCCAGAATGACTGCTGTCAGCTTTTTCATCCCAGTCTCCCCGCCGTGACCCGGTGACAGGGTCGTACTCTGCATATTTGTAGCTGAGGAAAGCAAGGTGCAGTGAGGAGCCCAGGCTGACCTGGTGTATGGTCCATATTCATACACAAGGGCCGCTTCCCTTTTTACTACCTTGAATTCACGTGCGCCCCAACATGAGTCACATCCTGATGAACAGCACTCCACCCAATACCTTACAGGCAAGCGCACTAACTATCTCCCTGAGTAACGTAGGAACCCACAAGGGTGCCACAAGGGGCCCATCCTCACAGATAACGCTACATTCACCTAGGCTCAAAGAACCAAGTAGTAGATCCTCCATAGACTATTCTTTGATGGTGATTTTAAACAAAACCTACGGACTAAAAGACAAACCATCATATACTAACCTCAGGGAACTTACTTAAAGCTTCCGGCGACTCATTTTCCTTGACTGGGAAGATGCATATAGTAATAATAATTACAACCTCACAGGATTGTGAATAAAGAATGAAGCAATGCACATCAACAGGCCGGCACAGAGTCAGGGAGGGTCCAAGAAATATTAACTGTTGTTGTTTTTATTTTGGAACATTTGTGATTTGTCCTACGTACGACTAAATATCCTTTGCCTGACGTCAACCTCAGAAGGGGGGTTAAAGCTAAGCAGAGCCTGAGTTTCTGTACCCCAAAATGGAGCTTTTCAAAGGCACATCAAAGGTGGGTGTGAGACATCTCACTGTCTACGCTCTGGAGGGACATGAGAAAAGAGCCATCACGAGGTCACCATTTCCCCAAAGGGGAAACAGCCCGCTCATTTAGAAATTTGTTCTTCTGCACAAGTGTGAATGCAGACACTGATAGTCTTTGAGTTCCTCTGGTTCCAGAGGGAAGGCCTGGGCACCCAAGTCAGAGACATTACAGACCTGGTGAGGATTCCAGTCACTGTCAAAGATGACCACAGTATCAGCTGCCTGAAGGTTCAAGCCCAGGCCGCCAGCTCTGGTGCTCAGCAAGAAGATGAAATACTGGGACCCAGGTTCGTTGAATTTCTTCAGCAGAGCGGCGCGGTCCTCAGACTTGGTGGTGCCTGTAGGTACAAGAAAAGTAAATTTGCCAATTAACTCCTGTCTGAAAATGGCACGGTTCGAGACAGAAAGGCTGGCCTCCTTGAGAAATAGACTCCTCTGGCATTGGTGAGGTAATCCCCTGAGGTTTTTGTGCTTTTGGGGAGAGGAAGTTTGAACATTTTGCAATTAAAAAAAAAGAGAGTGAGAGAGAGAGAGACATTTCTCAAATCAAGGAAGGAATACTGTCTACTACCCACTGTTTCAAAATGCTTGGTTTAAATAAGCACTTATGACTGTACCTTTGCAGATTGTACAACATTCTCATGTTAACCTAAACCTTTATGAAACATTTGCTGGATTTATTTCTGTGCTTTAAAACAACAAATAATTTTATTTATTTGTTTATTCATTCATTCATTCATTTATTTAGAGAGGGAGAGAATGAGTGGGGGAGGGGCAGAGAGAGAGGGAGAGAGAGAGAGAGAGAGAGGGAGAGAGGGAATCCCAAGCAGGCTCCACACTGTTGGCACAGAGCCTCAGGCAGAGCTCGAACTCACAAACCGTGAGATCATGACCTGAGCTGAACCAAGAATCGGCTGCTTAACCTACTGAGCCACCCAGGTGCCTCAAACACACCAAATAATATTATAAAATACACCTACATACACACACACATACACACACACACACACACACACACACACACACACGCCTGCACGTGCCTACAAAGATTATCATAACGGTTTAAAGCAATTTTGCCGATGGGTATCAGACCAAGTAGATGTTTATGCCAAGAGGGTGGAAACAAAAGGGAAATTGATTTCCACTGCATTTTACCATTTCGATTGCTCCTGAGCATGATCTGGCTGCTTAAAACCTGAAATGTGAATGGAATATTTTTATCCTGGTTAGCAAGACTTGAAGCCACAGTAATCCCATATATATAAACATATACCTACACACACACACACACACACACACACACACACACACACACACACACAGAAGCTCTCAGTCTGTTTCTTGTGTGGACATTCTGCTTGTTGAGTTCAAAGGGTGGTAACCTAAAACCTAACAGACCATCATGCGACTCACCCACCGATGGGTGGCCCCAAGGTACCTGAAAAGACTCCAAAGACCTCGAATAAGCTCAGGACACCAAACCCCAGGGGGTGGTGCTCACTTTTAGAGCAGGAAGTCACCCATACCTGCTCCCAAACCAGCCACTCAATCACATACTGGGCATTTGTAATGTATTTAACCGAGAAAGCACAACTGCAGAGTTTTGAAAAAGGCCTTAGGCTGTTGGGAAATACGGGAAAACTATATATACATGTTACACGATAGCCCCTAAATGTCTGCTATACAAATATTATTTCTACATGGTGTTCTTTTTTTAAGGTTGAAAATACACCAGCAATTTATTTCAGAGGATTAAAACACTTAAGTGGTGACAGCTAATGAAATCTAATTACTATGAGGGTCAGATTCCCAAACATGGAGGGGATCTATTATTCATATTAATAAAAATTGTAAGTACCCTCCCGAGGAGGGGGAGAAATGCCAATTCCCCACATATAGCAAATGGGGATCAGAAACCAGGGGCTTTGGGGGTTCTCTTCATCAAATGAAGCAATGCTCTTTGGAGCTCATTTTGCTTCCTAAATTAGATTTCAAGTTTAGCCACCTGGTCAAATCCTGCAACAAGAAATGGTAAGAGTCTGAATTTTGGGGGAGGTGCACTAAATGTGCTTTGCTGCGTGAGGTTTCTTTTTTTTTT